CATGAAGTGTGTTTATAATGCAGTGCAGCGCAGCGCACTGCTCCAAACCCCGGTCCATCCTAGGCGAGTCGAGGGATGTTCTGATAGGGGTTTCCTTTCGTTGATGGGCGTACAAGTTTCCTGAAGTCCGGATAGTCCGGATACAGGAGAGCAGTATTCATGAAACACCACAGCAAAGCGATTCCTGGAACATATATCCTGACATTAAAAATCCCAAGGTGAAATTGGGGAGCCTTGCAGCCGGATATCCGCCACTGAGTGCATGAATTGTGAAAGAATCTCTGTCATCGTCATCATCATCATTACACGTTAGCTAGAGTTGGAAAACACCTCAGCTATTGTGCCGCAATACAAAATAAAAGAAAAGGAAAGCAGTGACAAACAGTGGCACGCCCGCTGAGTCCCCAGTAACGGATGGACATCGTTCTGGAGAGCTAACAGCTGGCTGCCGTAAAAGATAGTCATATTATGCCTAACAGGTGAGATCGTGATTGGATGGGGATACTAAACAGGAGGGGGATGGGCAAAGGAAATCACAACACAAACGCCATTGGTGCCGGCTCCTAGCCAAATCAGCAAGTGTGTCCAACCAAACGTGTTCACCGTCCTTAGGACCCCAGCCAGGCAGTCGGGATGCACCAACCGACGCCAACTTCGAAGTGAGGGTTTTCATTTCCCTCGATCAACTCATCACTTGGCCTCCCCTCCTCTTCTTCCAACCGCACCCACAACGCGCAAACAATGCACGTCGCGGGAGTCGGTGTGCTGGCATGCGCAACAAGTGGACCAGCCATCGGAGCCTGGTGCGTGATATAATGGTGCTGAGCGGTTCACTCGCTCTTTCTGCACCAAATACGCGACGTCCAACACGCTCATTGCTCACGCGGTGCTCCCACCAGACATGAGCTAAACTGCGAAGGCAGCGGTGATCGAATGTGAGGAGCCTCTTCATGTCAGTCGACCTGATGGGCCAGGTTTCACATCCATATAGGAGAGTTGAACGCACGGCTGCGTTATAAACTCTGCCCTTCAGGGCGAGAGTAATGTCGCGTCTGCGCCACAGGTGGCGGAGATTGGCAAAAGCACCTCGAACTTTTGCTATATGGTTCGTAACCTCATCTTCGATCCCACGAGCGCTAATATAGCTGCTCAAGTACTTGAATTCCTGAACGACTTCTAGCTGATCAACACCAAGAGTCAGCGCAGGAGTGGGTCCGTGCCAATCTTGGAGAAGTAATTTGCATTTCGATGGAGCAAAGTATAGCCCAAAACGATTGACAGCCAGTGCTAATCGGCCCACTGCTGTTTGGCATGTTTGGGGGCTGTCACAGATTAGGGCAATATCGTCCGCATACTCCAAGTCAAGAAGTCGCTCACCAGGAAGTAGCTCCACACCTTCTAGGTCGTGTCCAGCGAACGCTGTTTCCATGACTTCCTCAATAGCGAAGTTGAAGAGGAAAGGTGATAGCGGGCATCCTTGTCTCACACCGTTAGTGATACTGAAGGGTGGCGACAGTTTGCCATAAACTCTCACCCTGCCCCAACTATGCGCGTACAGCGCTTTGATAATGTTTACATATTTATCAGGCACACCTTTCCTCAGCAGACAGTCCCAAAGGGCACATCGATCGACCGAATCGAAGGCACCTTTTATGTCAAAGAAACACGACAACGGTGGGTCGCCAATAAACATGGCGGTGCTCCAACACTTGACGCAATGTGAAGATGTGATCGATGCAGCCCCGACCTCGACGAAATCCGGCTTGCTCTTCACGAATCTGGCTTTCACGAGTGCCAGTCAGTCCTGTGGGAGAATGACAGAGGCAAGCAATTTAGAGGCAATCGAAATCAGACTGATCCCTCTATGATTGCCGCATTCCAAACCGGAGCCTCCCTTGAAAATTGGGACAATGACGGAGCGGTTCCAGTCTGTCGGGACTGTCCTCCTGCTCCCAAAGTTTTACTAGCAACTCGTGTAGATTTATCTACTATAGCAGGTCCCCCGAATTTGAAGAGGGCTGGGGGAATTCTATCTGCCCCTGCGGCCTTATGCAATTTCAACAGCCTGATCTCACGTTCGACTTCTGCGTGTGAGGGCGGATCCAAGGAGATGGCGTGGAAGAATGGGTGCTCAATGCCCGAAGAAGAAAGCGATAACTCAGGTTTGTTAAATTGCCTTGCAAGGTGTTCAGCCCAACGCTCCAAGCGTTTTGACAGGCTGTGGATCGGCTGCCCACCTCTCGTCGCGTATGGTTTCGGCTAACACCAGGTCTCCTGCTGCCTGTTTCCCGTATCAGACGGAATAGCTTACGATGATTACCCACAGACGTGTCCAAACAATTTGCTAGGGGGGGCACGTTTTCTGAGGTAAAAATAGGTCGTGTCACCTTCAGTCTGACAGTAAGATAATGATAATAATAATAATAATTACGCATGTATGAAAAAGATCAAAGCCTGAATTTATTATTTCATGATAAGGTCGCGGGCCAGTCGAAATGTTAACGCGGGCCGCATTCGGGCTACGGTTTCTCACTTTGGGACATCCCTGCTGTAGCAGGATTTGTGAGCGCTGTTGTCTGATAGATAACTTTGTCCGGGGAGCATCCTATCGGCCTAGGAACAATGGGGCGTTAAACAACTATCAAGTGTAAAGAAGTCAAGTTGCAAGGACTACCTGGGGGAAACAGGGCGGCAGCCTGGACGAATTCTTGCATATCATGGACGTCAATGTGAATAAATCCAACGAATATGCGTTATGGAGGATGTACAAGGGCTGCGCATATCGGCAACCGTTTTCGTGCAATGAAATGGATGGCATTAGTAGCTTCGAAAAGAAGGGGGCGTGAGCCGCTTGTTACTAAGGCTCCACTGAGTCTTCGATACCCATGGATTTGCGAAAAGGACTCTTGAAACACAATTCCAGAGGGTCTGATTCAGCGTTATACTAACGTTTTATTAGTTGCGTTCATCTCTAAGTTTCGAACCCAACTACAATCAATGACGCCAATACCAGTTGAGGAAAAACTCAAGCTCTAGGCTGGCGATCGGGTCAGCGCCACATCACCACGTTAAGTCAGGGCGTAAATATTGTTTATACCGTACGCTCAGAGAGCCCGTCAAAATACTCACGGATTTGGCACATGGAAGCAATTGCTTGCGGCGTACTTGAGTCTGCTGTAGTGGAACATGCCGGCAGTTTAATAGCCTCATCGATGCTGCCTGTCAGATTTTGGTTCATATGCAGCCAGATATGATGGATCTTCATTAAGGTGCGATGATGATTCTCATTTAGTTTCAACGCACGGGTGAGTATTGACTGCGTTATTCAAGGCGGATGTATACCGCAGTTATACTACTCCAGCACCATGTTTCAGTTATTTCCCCTGGTTGTCTGGATGTCTAAACTTCGTTTTCTGAATCCGTTTATACTTCGCATCAGTTCATGCATTATTGAGAGGTAACTGCAGCTGAACAGCAAATGAAGTTGGGCTATCACCAGCTAACTATTAAGGCATTCGTTCTGCATGAAATGACTAATCTGAGTGGTGGTCTCTGCGTTACATCGTACAAGTTAGGTTGCGCTTCCAAGTAATTACCTCGTCATTCGTTGTGGCGTATCCGAGTCAAAGATTTATGAATTAACTGAATATCTCTGTCGCCCATTCTATTTGGTTCATTTATTCTACCTTGGATGGCCCCTGTTTTTGTAGTACAGACTGGGCTGCACTCCTTATAACGAGAGCGCAACCGTGAGGCGCATCAGCGACAAGGTTGAGGTAGACGATCATCATACATGCTACCTCGCAAATAAGAAAAGCTTACACTTTAATGCATGAAATTTGATCGTTGTGCAAAGTTAGTCCCTGAGTGATATCACGGGTTAGTTGGCGATCTGCTTTTGCTAGAACAGTTGCCACACGAGTATAGCCAGTTGTAAGTGAGCTGCGTACACCCCAGGTGATCGTTAACTATGCGAATTCAAACTGGTGAACGGATTACAAGGGCATCATGTAATACTTTCGACCATCGGCCGAAAACCTAGGCCGTTCACTCATCTAACATCACAAATTCCGCTGTCAATCGACGACTGGCAATTTTATCGCAATCCGCGCACTCGAAGTAGCCACGTTTAAGCTAAGAATATAACCACCGAACACACACCTAGCCTGAGTAATATGCCAAACACTGGGTGCACAGTCGCAGCGCACGAGGAATAAATGTTCACTTAGCGTTGGTAAGACCCTGGGAGCACTGTTGAGTGAGTCCACTCGGTTTATAGGCCATGCGCTTTGAGAAACCAACTCCAAAGCAATCAGGGCTCACTCTATTTATACGGACTCAGAACACCCCAGAACAAAGAAACAACCCGCTATACGGGGTCCTACTCCCGTGTGCATATGTGGTTAAGAGCAGTTAAACAACACCTGCGCAGTGCCATTCGTGTTTGGCCACCTGTGTCACCTCGTGAATTATTCCGAAAAGCATGACTTCATATCAGAAACTGCTTAACAAATAACCTTAACCTAGTTCCTAGTTGTTAAGTATGATACTTAGCCGATAGACGGAACAGAACGCGCAGGCGTAGTATGAAACCATTTTAATGAAAGCTTCCTACGGTACAGTGGCTAGAAATGCCGAAACAAAAAAGTAATTAAATAAGGAAGGTAAGGCAAGCTTATTGTCAACCAATCATATAAGCGCCTGTGTTCACGAATCAATACTCAACTGCATACATGACATTTGTTTCCACTAACTATCTGTGCAACATACCTGATTTTTGTTTCGAGTGTGCTGGGTAGATTGCCAAACAGGTAGCAGCTTGGCCGCATTGAATAAACGTATTCACCACTTCCAAACAACCTGGATCAAGCAGGCTTTCCACTGCCTGAGTAAGCGGAATATGGAACCGGGCGGCTGCAATGCTTGTAATTCGTTCATGCAGTGGGCCCAATGAGGCACGTCTATGTTCCCGTTTCTCATTGGCTCTTGTCTGTAAAGAA